ATGTTCTATGAAGCAAACATCACTCTAATAACAAAACCAGGAAAATATTCAACTAAAAAGGAGGAATACACAATAATTTCACTAATGACTATAGATGCAAAAATACTCAATTAAATCTTAGTCAACAGATGACAGCTATACATTAAAAAATTATACATCATGTTCAAGTTGGCTTCATCCCAGGGATAAAAGGCTGTCTTAACACACAGAAATCCATAAATGTAATTCACCATATCAGTAGAAACAAAAACAGACTATATGATCTCAATATACACAGTAAAAGCAATTGATAAAATTCAGAATCCTTTCTTGACCACAATACTTAAGAATACAAGCATAGGTGGCACTTTTCCAAAACTGATTGAAACCATTTATGACAAAACCACAACTCATATCATAATGAATGGAGTAAACCTGAAAGCTTTTCCCTGTAGAATTAGAACCAGATAAAGTTGTCCTCTACTGCCACAACTATTTAACATATTACTGGAAGTTCTAACGAATGCAATTCGGCAAGTGTAGAATATAAAAAGTACCCATATGTGGGCAGAGGAGGAAAAAAATTCTCCTTGTTGATAATGTGATCTTATTCTTAGAGACCCCGAGAGACTCAATCACAAGATTCCTGGGTGTGATGAAGAAATATCAATGTCCACAAACCAGTAGCTTTTGTATATGCCAATTAATAGCTAAGTTGAGAAGCTAATCAAAGACACTTTTCCCCCTTTACAGTAGTTTCAAAAAACAAGACATATCTATGAATATACCTAACAAAAGAGGTGAAGGACCTCTACAAAGAGAATTAGGAATCCTAAATAAAGAAATTACACAAGCCATTAACAAATGAAAGAACATACTATGCTCTAGACTGGAAAGAATAAACATTATTAAAATGTCCATTCTACCCAAAGTTATCTACAGACTCAGGGTAATCCGTATTAAAGTACCAACATCATAATTTGAAGAAATGGAAAAAATAGTTCTTCATTTTGTGTGGAACCACTCAAAACTATATGTAGTCAAGGCAATGTTCAGTAATAAAACCAAAGCCACAGGTATCATTCTACCAGACTTTCAGCTATATTACAAGTTCACAGTGATCAAAACAGCATGGTATTGGCACAAAAGTAAAGACACAGACACTTGGAAACAAATGGAAAACCAAGAGATGAAACCAGTCTCTTATAGCCGTATGATTTTTGGTAAACCAAACAAAAGCCTACACTGGGGAAAAGATTTTTTATTCAATAAATGGTGTTAGAAGAACTGGATAACCACAAGTAAACAGACTGAAACTGGACACACACCTTTCACCACTTTAAAAAGTTGATTGAAAATGGATAAAAGATTTAAATTTAAGACACGAAATGTTAAAAATCCTAGAAGAAAGTGTGGGAACAAGTTTTGAAGATGTCAACCTGAGGAAAGATTTTATTAAGAAGACTTTTCTGGCAGTGAAACAACAACAGAAACTTAAAATGGGACTTAATTAAGCTTAAAAGCTGTACAGAGCTAGGGACACAACAATTAAAGTGAATAGACAGGATCAGCACCTGTAGCTCAAGTGGCTAAGGCACCCGGCACATACGCTGGAGGGTTTGAATCCAGCCTGGGCCCCCCAAACGACAATGACATCTACAACCAAAAAATAGCTGGGCATTGTGGCAGGTGCCTGTAGTCCCAGTACTTGGGAGGCTGAGGCAAGAGAATCCCTTAAGCCCAGGAGTTGGAGGTTGCTGTGAGCTATGACATCACAGCACTCTACCCAGAGTCACAGCTTGAGACTGTCTCAAAAAACAAACAAACAAACAAACAAATAAAAAACAATAAAGTGAATAGATAACCTTCATCATGGGAAAAATATTACATGTTACAAATCTGAAAAAGGCTTGATAATAATAATCTATAGAGCACTCAAATTAATCACCACAAAATGAGCAAACAATCCCATCTATGACTGGGCAACAGAAATGAACAGAACCATCTCTGAGATGATAGAAAAATGGCTAAAAGACATATGAAAAATGCTCATTATTCCTAATCATCAGAGATATGCAAATCAAAACTATACTGAGATATCATCTAACCCCCATAAGGTTAGCCCACATAACAATGTCCCAAATTTTGGATGCTGGGGCATATTAAAGGGAAATGATCACTTTTCCACTATTGGTGGGACTGGAAAATCACAAAGTCTCTTGGAAAGAAATATGATGAATCCTCAAGGAACTCAAATTATACCTACCATTTGACTCCACACTAACTGGCATCTACCAGAAGAAAAAAATCATTTTATCATAAAGACACTTTCATTAGATTGTTTATTGGAGTTCAATTTACAATAATGAAGCTGTGGAAACAACCTAAATGCCCATCAACTCAGGAATGGATTAAAAAACTGTGGTACATGTATATACTCTTCAGTCATAAAAAGGATGGTACTTTTCATCTTTTGCATTAACATGGATGGAGTTGAAACACCTTCTTCTTAGTAAAGTATCACAAGAATGGAAAAACAAATATTCAATGTACCTAATACTAATATGAAGCCATAAGACAATCTAATACACTCCCACAAAGGAGTAAGACTCAATTCAAGCTGGGGGAGGGAACTATAGGGAGGGGGGAATGGAGGAGGGGGAATTGGTGTGCTCCCACTTAATGGGTACAATGTAGGAGTATATGGCACAGCATTTGGGTGTGGGGAACAAATACTATATGGATTCTACCTAACAAATTCAAATATTGTTTCCTGGTTATTTGTACCCTCACATTAACCTGAAATAAAAATAACAATAAAAAATAGCCATATCAGGATAAATATGAAAAACAGCTTCTCTGAAACTTCTAGAAGTCAGAAGGGCAGTATTTGAATGCTTCGATGCTTTCAAATCAAGCATTGGACACTTGCTCTAAATAAATGAGTGAAATGATGACAAATTTCTGTTGAAGATATTTCAGTTGAAATATTCAATTGTGGAAATGTGAATGTCTCTAAATTTTATGTTGAAGAAACAAAAACATAGATGGTATAAAAATTCCTGAAATTTTGAGGAAATAGAATTTTTATGAATATATTCTAAGCTTATTCACAATTTTAAGACTTTTCCTATTTGCGTATCTATTGCAAGAAACTTTACAATATTAAAATTAATCAAAAGTTTATATCAATCAGCTATGAGCAATGATGGATTGAAAAATCTAGCTATGCTATCTGTTAAATATAGGCATTCCCCAAGTTACAAACATCTGACTTATGTACAACTCACACTTACAAATGGGGGCTATTATAGTAAGTCCCCAAGTTACAAACATCCCTTTGATGAATGACTAGCACTTAATGAACATAGACTATTACACATAATTGGTCAATGTACTTGTTTCAACTTATATACAAATTAAATGTAAGAACAAATCTACAGAACCTATCTCATTTATAACCCAAGGACTGCTTGTATATAGAAATATTGAATTTTGATTAAGTCATTAACAAATATGTAAATGTTAAACCTCAAAAGCAGAAACTATAATATTATTCATTAATGCAGTAGACCAGTATGTTTGTATAAATTTTTCTCATTTACAATGCATTACTGCAATTAAAAATTGATTCATTAATTTTTCCTTTTTGGTGTTGTACTATTTTCTTTATTTTGTATTTTATTTTTCTATTGTCATTTCTATATATGCATATATTTATCAATATATATGAAGTTAAAAGATAATTTACACTGTTTTTCTTTTGTCTCTATTATTAGTTTCATTTTTACGATTATCTCGTAAATTGATTTTCTTATACAGAAGAAAGTTCTGCTAAAAATGGATCTACTTTCGGTATCAGAGGTGCTAGGTACGCTGCTAATGCCCGATATATATGTATTTAATATTTGTTGAATGAATTAATGGATAAATGAATTATTATTGGGATTGTTGATGAGCAAATTCTTTCCTCAGAATCATTTCATGAGGGACTTAAAGAAGACCTTGCTCCTATTGGGAATGTTGAACCTACCCACAGTATATTCTCCTGACAGCAACAAACTCATCCTTTGACAAAGTGACTTAGAGTAGGTCACACTTTTGCCCAAAATCCTCCAATGATTTCTCATGTTATTAATAATAAAATCCAAATACCTTAGGGTGGCACAAAAGACCCCAACACACAATGCAGGGTGTTATATCACTACCACTACCTATGAACTTATCACTCCAGTTATGCTGTCCTTTTTCATTGCTGTTCCTCTGTTCACTCTTCCCTAAATTCCCTCAGGACATTTCTGAAATCAAATTATCAGAGTGTATTTCCCTAATCTACATAAACTAGTAAACTGTTACCGAATCCTCATACTGCTTCATTTTCCTCATAGCATCTGGTACTTATTTTTTCTTTTCTTTTTCTCCTGAAACGAGGAAAGCCGCTAAGGTTCTGCACCCTGAAAATGTAAGCTCTCCGTGACATAGTTTCAGAATTAACTGTGGCTTCATAGAGCTCACAGCAACCTCCAACTCCTGGGTTTAGGCGATTCTTTTGCCTCAGCCTCCCGAGTAGCTGGGATTACACGCCTTTTTTGTTGTAGTTTGGCCGGGGCCGGGTTCGAACCCGCCACCCTCTGTGTATGGGGCCAGTGCCATAACCACTGAGCCACAGGCGCCGCCAACACAGTTACTTGTTAAGACACCTGAAGTAGGGTTTTAAGCCCCTATGTGGACAAATCACGCTGAAACAAAGTAACTAAAATTTCTGCACTCTGGAAAATAACTTTCAACTGGACTGTGGAGAATATTCTGAAAGGCTCTTTGTCACACATGGAGCGTCAATCACAAAGATGAACCGTTTCTTCAGAAGACAGTTCACCCGTTAATCCTAGCAAACTCCAAAGTTGCTGGAAGGTGGAAAAAAGGCAGGAGAGGAACGACAAGGGGCGTAACGGGGCGGGGCTATCTCGACCAGAATCAAGTAGAATTGCTTTGTCCTTCTCCGCTCTCCGTAAGCAAATTTCGGCTGAGAGGGTCACAGATATGGCGGCCGTCAGGGTAAGCAAAAACAAACTTGGTTAGTTTCTTTGGGTACGATAGCATTCCAGTAACTACAGAAGAGATCCTCCTAACTTCTGAAGGGAGCCTCACAGCAAGGGTTAGAGTGGAGGTGGGGATGTGAGAAAATTGGAATCATTAACGTTTGAAGCCTCCAGACACCTACCTCTCCCCTTTAGTATTTCCTCAGTGTGGAACGCTGCTCTCTGCTTAATCCCCAGAGGTTGTTGATTTATACAGAGGCACAGTACAAGCTGGAATTTGGCTGGGTGAAAATGACCTGCCAGGTGAAGTGCCGCCATAGACGTTTGGGTCTTGAGCTGCAACAAAAACCGAAGAGTCCTTGACCTTTGTCTCAGTGTACAGAACGGAGCTTTGTCGCCTTGCGCATGAGACTTTGTTCAAACATTTGAGAGTGAAACAGACCAGGGTAGAGACATCCCAGAGTCTCTTTGTAGTGTGTGGGTTTATAGTAGTGCTGTTACTGTCTGGGCAAAGTTTCTTTTGAGTTCTGTGATGAGAAAAGGTGACTTTACTTGGGAATCCATGTACAGGAAGTGACTCAGCTGGATGCTTGCTGCTTTTCTTAGGTAGATTTTAATTACAGTAGTCTATAAATATTTACGTAGCAGGTTTTAGAGTAAAATGTTCTGTAGGCTTGCAGGAGCTACAACATGAATATTTCCCTTCAGTCAAAGTTTATTTTAAGTCCGTTCAGTGTCTGCCTTTATTTGCCATTTTCTCTTCATTTTTGCAGCACTGGATTTTATACTTGATCTGAATTATCACAACACCCTCCTACCTGGATTCATTACTTCTAGATTGGCTTTTATAAAATCTATTTCTCCTTTGCTGCTGCAGTACTACCAAAATGCAAATCTGATTCTGCCCCTCTCCTTCTTATAAACCCTCAGGGGTCAGGTCACACTCCTAGGTCTAGAACACATGATCTTGCCTAGACAAAAGTCATCTTCTTGACAAAAGTTTCATCTCCTGTCACTCAGGAATTGTCCTCACACCATTGGTGAACTACTTGCTTCACTTTTCATGTTTTTTTAATCTGCTCTTTCTTTTGGCCTAAAGTTACTTTTTCCATCCTCATCTAGTTATTTCCCACTCTTATCATTCATTCATTCCACAGATATTTGTGTACAGCCTCCCCATATGCAGAATGCCTTTTCTAAGAGTTTCCCTGACCTTACCAGTCAATTTTAAATAACTTCTGTGTGTACTCCCAGAGAACTTTGGGCATATTCTTAGCTGTAGCATTTATTACACTGCAAATAATAGACTATTTACTTGCCTGTTCTAACTTCCTAAACTATAACCTCTTTGAGCACAGTATTAAATTAATGTTTGTATCCTTAGTACGCAGTACAGATCTGACTTATATTAGGTAATCAATAAGTTCTATATGAATAAATAAGTGCCAGAAAATTAGAATAAAAGAGATTAGTAAGGGAAGTGACGTACCTCAAAAGGTGTACAAAGTGCTCTGGGGAGTCAAAGGAGAGCTCATACTTGGTTTGAAGAGAATAAAGAAAGGCTTTCCTGGAGGAGGTACAGAGACATTAAAAATGGCTAGCAGTGAAAGGCAAACCAGAACAGTGTGTTGTAATTGAAACTTAGAGAATGGAGTAGAACAATATTTTGATTTGGCCATTAATAGGCACTGGCAACTACCATTTATAAGTGCTTACTACAGGCCAAACACTATGTTAAAATACTTTTTATATGTTAATTCATTTATTCTCAAGACAACTCTACGTAGTAGATATTATTATCACCAATTTTTAAGGTGAACTAATGTTTAGAGAAGTCAAATAAATTGCTCAAAATCAAAATGCCAGTAAGAGCTCAAGTGAGATAAAGAGGTGTAAGTAGAGTGGTAGAGGGAGAACCTAGATCGTAAGGTGTTAAGGAAAAGATATGGGATGTAGAACTGGCATTCATTTTGTACCTTTGTCCAAAATGGTGGTATTCCCATTTTACAGGTGGAACAACTGAGGATTACAAAAAGTGCTTGCTTCAGGGCCAGGTGTGGTGTCTCAGGCACTCTGGTAGGCCAAGGTGAGTGGATTGCCTGAGCTCAGAGGCTTGAGACCAGCCTGAGCAAGAGTGAGACCCTACCTCTAAAAACATAGCCAGGCATTGTGGCGGGCACCTGTAATCCCAGCTACTCTGGAGGCTGAAGCAAGAGAATTGCTTGAGCCCAAGAGTTTGATATTGCTGTGAGCTATGACACTACAGCATCATAGTGACAAAGTGAGACTCTCTCTCAAAAGAAAAAAAAAAGTGCTTGCTTCAGGTCATAGACCTGCTATGTGTAAGAACAAGATTCAAGCACAGATATATTTTGCTCCGAACTCTTTCTGTTATTCCTTCGTTGTCTGGGAGGTATGTGTTACTCTTTAGAGAAGTGTGATGGTGAAAGGAAGGAAATATATATATTTCTAATTTTAGGTTAATGTGAGGTATACAAACAGGTCATAATATTTGAATTTGTTAGGTAAAGACCCTCTTGTGGTTGTGTCCTGCACCAGCAAGGTGTGCCATACACCCCTACATTGTGCCCCTTAAATGGGAACACCATAAACACTACCCTTTCCCCCCCATTTGTTCTGTTCCCCCCAACTTGAGTTGAAATGAGTTTTTCACCTATTTGGGCATGAATTAGATCATCTATTGGCTTCACATTAGTATTGAGTACATTGGATATTTGCTTTTCCATTCTTGGGGTACTTTACTGAGAAGAATGTGTTTCAACTCCGTCTAGGTTAATACAAAAGATGTAATGTCACCATCTTTACTTATGACAAATTCTATTCCATGGTATACATATACCACAGTTTGTTAATCTATTCCTGAGTTGATGGGCATTTAGGTTGTTTACAATCTTGATGATTGTAACTTGAACTGCAATCAACGGTCTAGTGCAAATGTCTTTATGATGAAATGAGCTTTTTTTTTTTTTTTTCTGGGTAGTTGCCTACTACTGGGATTGTGCTGTCAAATGGGATGTCTAATTTAAGTTCTCTGAGGGTTCTCCATATTTCTTTCCAAAGGGTCTGAATTATTTTGGAGTCCTACCAAAAGTATAAAACCATTCCCCTTTCTCCACATCCACACCACCATCTACATCTTTGGGACTTTGTGATGTGGGCTCATCTTACTGGGGTTAGGTGAAATCTCAGAGTGGTTTTGATTTGGATTTCTCTGATGACTTGGGATGATGAGCATTTTTTCGTGTTTGGAAGCCATTTTTATATGATCCCCAGAGAAGATTCTGTTCATTTCTCTTGCCCAGTGATAGATGGGATAATCATTTTGTGTTGATTACTTTGAGTTCTCTATAGATCCTTGTTATTAAGCCTTTTTCAGATTTGTAACAGGCAAATATTTTTCCCATTATGTAGGTTGTCTGTTCACTTTAATTGTTGTGTCCCTAGCTCTGCAGAGCTTTTAAGCTTAATTAAGTCCCATTTTAAGTTTCTGTTGTCGTTTCACTGCCAGAAAAGTCTTCTTAATAAAATCTTTCCTCAGGTTGACATCTTCAAGACTTGTTCCCATACTTTCTTCTAGGATTTTTAACATTTCGTGTCTTAAATTTAAATCTTTTATCCATCTTGAATCAACTTTTTAAAGTGGTGAAAGGTGTGGGTCCAGTTTCAGCCTGTTTACTTGTGGTAATCCAGTTCTTCTAACACCATTTATTGAATAAAAAATCTTTTCCCCAGTGTAGGCTTTTGTTTGGTTTACCAAAAATCATATGGCTGTAAGAGACTGGTTTCATCTCTTGGTTTTCCATTTGTTTCCAAGTGTCTATGTCTTTACTTTTGTGCCAATACCATGCTGTTTTGATCACTGTGAACTTGTAATATAGCTGAAAGTCTGGTAGAATGATACCTCTGGCTTTGGTTTCATTACTGAACATTGCCTTGACTACACATGGTTTTGAGTGGTTCCACACAAAATGAAGAACTATTTTTTTCATTTCGTCAAATTATGATGTTGGTACTTTGATAGGGATTACACTGAATCTGTAGATTACTTTGGGTAGAATGGACGTTTTAATAATGTTTATTCTTTCCAGTCAAGAGCATGGTATGTTTTTCCATTTGTTAATGGCCTGTGCAATTTCTTTACTTAGGGTTTCATAATTCTCTTTGTAGAGGTCCTTCGCCTCTTTTGTTAGGTATATTCCTAGATGTTTCACGTTCTTTGAAGCTACTGTGAAGGGAATAATGTCTTTGATTAACTTCTCAACTTGGCTGTTATTGGTGTATACAAAGGCTACTGATTTGTGGAAATTGGTTTTATACCTTGAGATGTTACTGTATTTCTTCATCACTTCCAGGAGTTTTGTTGTTGAGTGTCTTGGGTTTTCTAAATATAAGATAATATCATTGGGAAAGGGCAATTGTTTGACGTTCTCTGCCTCCATTTGGATGCCCTTTTATTGTGCCCCGGAGTTCCACAAAGACCACACTGCTAAACAAGTTAAATGTAAAGAGGAGTCCTTTTATTGAAGAGCTGGCCAGTGACTGCCTCTGTATCCCAACATGGGGTTTCTGAGAGCAGCCCTGAGTGCATAAGTGGCTGGGTTTTTCATTGTCGTTGGCATGAAGGCTGTCCAGGTGCAACCTGGTAGGGTAGCAAGCAAGCATTGTACAGAAGCAGAATTTTGCAGTTAGTCATATGTCATACATTTTTGTTTTAATATTTGACCCCTATACATCTTAATTTCAGTACTTTCTCTCCATACATCTTAATTTCAGTATTTTCCCCACCCAGTATTGTTTAAAAGTCAGTCCAGGAACAGTTGGTACCTCCCGCTCTGCTTCCCATGGAGTTAGCCAATCAAGAAACTTGGAGTGAACTAGAAGCATGAAATTAATTAATACTTTCCCATCTACCTTGGAAGTGAACTAGACTCATATCATTTGTGTGTGTATGTGTTTGTGTGTGAAAACGTGCAGTCTGGAAATTTGCCAGGAGTT